AATTAGAAAAGATATACAAACAAAAAAGAAGAAAGAGAACAAGAGAAAGAAAAAGAAAAAAAGAAAAAAGACATAAAAAGTGACCCCTCTCTTTCCAAACAAGTATAATTATTTACAGTAACTTAACCATCTTCTCTAATATTACAGAAATAAAAAAAACCCCTCTTCTTCCCATTTCTCATCATTAAACAATAACCAAATTATAGAAAGATTCATCAATCATACTCAGCAAAAGCATTGAAAGTACCAGCAGTAGTAACCTATATGTTTTAAGCTTAGACAAATAAATCTATTTTGCATTTTGACTTATAACTTTCTCTAATAAGACATAAAGGATTTATCCCCATAGGTATAAAGAATATCAATAATAGTAACATATATATTTTGAACTCGATCCAGTAGGCCCCTTTTACATTCTGACCCCTAACTTTCTCTAACAACTAGAAGGTAAAAGATTTATCCCCATATGAAAAAAATCTTTACATTGTTTTGCAATCCTGATTAAAAAAAAAAATTCAAATAACAACAACCCCAAATCAAAATTTATACAATTTAACCCTGGTCAAATAAGTCCACTATGAACTCCTTTTCTTCTTCTTAAGAGGCTTAATCTTCAGTTGCTTCTTCAGATAGTCCCACATAGTGATTTCTTATCATTTACTCCCTGTCTGTTTTCAGTAGCAACCTCAGAGATTTAGTAGTTCCCTTCTGTGGATCTAAAATAAGATAACTCTCCAAATCACTCTTCTGATTTATAATTAGGATATCCCTTTTAATTGTTAAAAGATCAGCCAGCATAGTTTGTATATCCATTACAACTTCTTTCTCCATGTCACTCTTGGAGTCAAATATTTTAAAATCCATTTTCAAATCCACATCTTTTTCCATATCTTCCATATCTCTTTTATAGTCTGGCACTTCTTTACAGTCCACTTTAAAATCCCTATTCAAATCATCCTTAGCTTCTGTTTTATCTTTTCTTCTTCTGTAACCTGTTAGATCCAATTTTAAAAGTAAGTCCTGAACACATTGTTGCCAAACAGATTTAAATTCTTCTATAGTAAAACAACATTCCTCCATTATGTTAGGAAGTATCTTTTCCTTTAATTGCTCTCTGGTTCCCTCTAGTTAATTTTCAAAACCCAGCCTTATCTTTTGTTTATTTTCAGAGCCACAACTTTCCCACAACAAGTTTTCTTACAGTAAATTCCAAAATCATCTGCTGTATTTTCATAAAATTTAAAACAGTCCATAAAAAAACTATTCCATTTGGCCCCTTAACTGTCCACAGCCAACATTCTTAACTTCCTATCGCTGTTTTCCAAAAGTTAAATTTTTTATTTTTAATCTTTAAACTTACTTAAATTGTCTTTCTCCCACTGTACAGCAACTTGCCTTTTAGAAGGTTTTTAATTTCCAAGTTTGCTAATAAGTATTTTCCAATGTTAATTAAAAGAGGAAGTGGTGGCATACAAATTTAAGAAATAAATAAATCAAATCTAGTGCCTCTTTAGAGGCTCTGAACTGTGGCTTGGGTTTGATGTTTCCCATGACTCCCAGAGCGCTCAACCTGCTGGAGATCGCTAAATTGTGATCTCTTCACAGGGAATCTCTGTAAGGAGTCCTTGTGGGTAATCTGGTCATCTCCTTTGTCCGGAGATGCTTCTGAAGAGCTGGACTTTCCTCTGGCTCTTCTTAACTGCTGTGGTTGTCAGCTCTGCAAAAATGGAACTGTCTTCAATCCACCATTACTTCCCCATAAGTCAGATATTTATCTTTCTTGTAGTAAAAAATATATCTTTTCTTTTTTTTCTTTTTAGCAAATTCTACATGCATTTTAGCTGTCTACTTTATCACAGTTCTTGGGTTTCAGGTGTATAGTGAATTATAGTTCAAGAATGAATTTTATGGACATTGGAGTTAGCATTCCAACCTGTGGGATGAAAGTGTTAAACTGGTGTTCTTTAGAAAATTACTTTTCCTCTTTTGGTATTTATGCCAAATAGAGTTTTTTTTTCTTTTTAATGGGTTATATATTTCTATACAACTTTGTATATCTGTACAAGGAAGTACTACATTTAAATCTGTTTCAGTTTTTGGTACAATCTAGTTATTACTTATGTGCAAAATGAAATAACTGGCATTCTTGAGCTTATGATCAATCCTATGTGTAACAGGAAGAAAAGCAAAAGATCAGTTCTTCTCTACATTTATTGAACCTGTGGATTCCTACGTGGTAGTCCTGTTCAGAGTGACGTGGATCTTTTTAGGGAATACTGAATGAGACCAAATGTCTTCCAACTTGTTGGATGAGTTTGTAGGTTTCTCTGCAGGTAAAATTGCTCATACCATTTTTGTTTGGACACCAGTTGGGTAGAATGCGCTATGTGAGCACAGCAGCATCTGGTACTACAATCTGGGTTTCTTTTGAGCTTGTAAAGCATGAAGAACTGAATAGGGTTTTATTTAGTATGTGGACTCTGCCAGCTGCAGGCTAGTGAGAATAACGGGCACTTGCCACCAAATTTTTCACTGTGGATGTTTGTAAGTAAAGGACTTAGTGCTACGTTGATAATCCGCTGGAGAAAGATTTTGTTACGTGTATCATACTTCCTGACTAGCAAATAAAGAGGTCATCTTCTGTTAGGTTCATATTCTATATCAAATAGACAATTTTAAAACACAATTTTAATTGTTTTAAGCAGTGACTTCTATTGAAGAGAACCTAAAAAGCATATGTGTCTTTGGTATGGATGACATACATTCTTTTACATAACTTTTTAGAAATAATACTGCTTTGTATACTAACCAGATACAAAACAGCTGCATATACAGTTTTCCCCTTGAGTTTTACCACCATATTCTTTCAGTGGCGTGACTGAAATATTTCTGCCTTTGTTTGAATAAGTCAAGATATGTGCTTGATGAGCACATGTGGGTGCTCTGTTCTCATGATTCTTTCCTCTCTTTTGCCATGCTGTGAAGTCAGACAATCTTTAGTTAATTATATTTGGTTTAGGTTCTTAGCTTGTGCTGAATGTAGCATCTGTAGCTTTTTTGTTGAGGCCCTGTGGGGAAAGATACTTAAATAAAGACTAAAATCAGCTTTCGAAAATCTGCAAATCCAAGACTCTTAAATTCTTTACAGTACTTACTAAAGCAAAGCATGATTGTCCAATTGCAAAAAAAAAAAAAGAAAAGTGAATTTTGGTAGCCAGCTTCATCAACACTCTATTATATATTTTTTGCTCAGGAAGTGATGGTTTATATCTTCTGCTTCCATAAAGGGCATTTTGCTTTCATAAGAACTTGCTCGTCTCTTTTTGTCTCTCATGTTGTCCATACTGTGGCATTTAACCCAATTATTTCTCCCCCTTTTATTTCTCTTGCCAGCTTACTATGATACTGAGAGTGAAATTTCTCTCTTTATTCCTGGGGAAGAGAAGATTGTCATTTCTCTTGTACTAGAACTCTTGGTTTCTTGAAGTCTATTCCCATTAAAAATTTTTTTTAAAAGACTTAAAATGAAATAAACTAAATAAAGATCAAGTCTGTTCTTTCATTAATCAATTTTACTATACTCTTGGAATCTTGGGGATTACATTAAAACTAATCTGTATCAAATCCACTCATTTATTGTCTTATGACAAGTTGATTTCTTTTTCCAGGTAATTTATCATATTTGTATCAATTGGCTTATTGTACTGCAGGGTGGTTTTTCTTCTAAACTCATATTTCATTTTGCAATGGCACATTTTTATATCTTGAGTCAATATGTAGTACTAAGACATGTGATCTGTATCTTAGAATCATTGAGTTAGAAGAGAACATTTCAGCTTTCAAGTTCAACCTCACACTCAGTAATCCAAATCCCTGATATATAGCTGTCATGCCTCTTGCTAAGTCTTTCCCTTAGGAAAGAGGAGAATTCAGGAGAGTGGCAATTTTCTTATTGTGACCTAGTAGTTTCTGACAAGATTAGGACTTTGAAGTTCCATCTCCATTTAATCACTAAATTCAGTACATAATCTTGGACCTGTCAGATGCTTTCATTCCAGTGTAACTTCTCCAAAATGTTAAGAGGGTGAAATGGAGGGAGATATTTATTTGTTTGTTTGTTTGTTTGGAATATGAATGGGATAAAAAACTCAATGGGTTGTATGCCATCATTGACAAGAATTCAGTAAATTATATGGCATTATGCTCAAGTCAGCCATGTTCAAGCTACATGCTGGCTGTTGTGAAATCTCCCTGTGGTGAACCTAAGCAAGTTGATAGAGGACTTCATATGTAATACATTTAAATAATGATGAGCATGAAAGAACCCAGCAGAGTGCTGCTAAAGTCCATTTCAAAGGCTTGCTTAGTTGACATATTGTTAGTATAGGCAGATTTGTAAGCAAGAAACAATTTTTAATATATGTGTTTAAGTTCTTTTCATAGTGGTCATGTACCTAGTATAGCTGATTTATTTTTAAACTACCATGCTTGGGTGAAATTAAAACACACACACACACACACACACACACATATTGCAAAGAGGTAGTTTGCATTCTCTTTCTAGACAGATATTGAATGATCTACACCTTCAGGTAACACTGTAGGAAAAAATCTTAATGCAGCACTGTGTGCATATGTTATCTGTTATCAGTAAAGCTGTCATTTAACTGCAACTACATTTACTCCCCTAAACAGGATTCCAAGAATCTAAAAATAAAATTTTGATTAGAAATTTTAAGAATAAAATTTCTGATACAACTTCCATATCTCCAGGGGTTGTAGAAGGTGACCTAGCTGCTGTTGAAGCTTACAAGTCATCAGGAGGAGATATTGCACGCCAGCTTACTGCAGATGAAGTACGCTTGTTAAATCGTCCGTCTGCTTTTGATGTGGGATACACGCTAGTTCACCTTGCAATACGTTTTCAAAGACAAGATATGTTAGCAGTTCTGCTTACAGAGGTGAGTTTTCATGACTGCTGATTAGTTAACTTGTTGGACTAAATGAATCTGGGTGCTGGTGATACTTCAGAATGTGCTGCTTAAAAAATTAGAGTAACAACACAGTTTTGTTTGATTAGTCTAAATCTGTTAGTGATTTTGAAAACCATTCGGGTAAGATCTTTGCCACAATTTATCTTCCATTTATTTTGTAATATAGTTAATTTTCTGAATCAGAAAAAGTGTTGATCCTTTATGACTAATTCACTGTAGATTTTTTTCTACATGGAGCTAGAAGAAGTGCAAATCTCTAGAGAAGTGCAAATTCTTTGCAAGGGGAGAAGAAAGGGAAAAAATGAAGCAAAGTGGCTAAGCATGCACATGAATACAGCCAAGAGCTGCTTTTGAAGCAGCAGCATGAGTCTAAAAAGAGGTGCTTTGTATGTGCTTTTCCATGTTTTGAATGAAGACTCTCTCAAAGGATTTCTTCAGACCTTGTAATAACGTTATAGAAAATAAATTCTGTGTGACATAGCCCTCAGTACTGTGCCATGTTGGGAACTTTGGGAATCAGAAATATTTCTCAAGTGTCTTAATATTGGGCATGTGTTAGAAGTGAATTCATGTGTTAACAGCCTTGTTTTCTGCCCATAATGGCTAAGATGCTATTCTTATTTACTATCCGAAGGAATGCTATCAGCTAGTTTATAGTTACTAGTAACTCTGTTTTGAATTGATTGGAGTAGGGGCACCACATATTTATTATATTTATAATTTATGTATGTACATATATTTATGTATGTATGTATTACAATGGGGGACTCTGGGCGGCTCACAACAGATTAAAACAATAAATAAATATACAATTAAAACCTATAACAATACACATTCCTAAAAATAAAAGGGAAAAATATTTTGCCTTTCCTACAAGAGTTCATGGATATATACATATTTGGGCCAAGGAAGCATGACACAAATCATGTAGTGATTTGATCTGAACTTGGGTCTTTCTAGTGTAATCCGACATTTAATCACTGTTTAGCATTGTCTCTCAAAGTAGCATTTAGGCCATTAATGAAGTATCAAACTTTCATTATCTCATAGAATGCAGTGGTGGTTCTCAAACTTTTGCACTGTTGTGACTTCCAAAACAAATTAATTTGTGGGACTACCACCACCAAATGAATGAACAAATGATTTCATTGATGTTAGGGCTGGGTAGAAATACATAAATCACTTCTAATAATTAAATTTTAATCTATATATCACAGAGGTTTTCAAACTTCATGATGCAACAATTTCCTTCTATGGGCTTGTGTAGTCAAAAAGGAGAAAGCTCAGATAAAGTGTTGACAGTGCTCCCATTTTGCCTGTGCAAGCCTGGTCAGTTTTTAAAAAAACTGAATCCCCCCCTCCCCCAATGCTCATGACCCACCTCTGGATTGCAGAAGAGCTTGCATTGGTTTCTTCATTTATCTCCAGTAATCATGTGAGTTACGTTTAACAGAAGCTTAAACTAGTATATGATAAGCTAGCAATCTTCATACCAGAGTAGGAATTTGAATATAAATGTGCCTGTCTCATACTCAGCATTTCAAATAATGAATCATGTTGATTCTTTTTTGGTTCTGAGTTGACCGAAAAATGTCTTTAGGAAAAGAAATCTCATGTATATTTTTGTATATGTAATACTTTTATCTTTTAAAGCAAATAAAGTAATTAAATGTTGTCTTACAGGTGTCCCAACATGCAGCTAAGTGCATTCCTGCCATGGTGTGCCCAGAGCTTACTGAACAAATCCGGCGTGAAATTGCTGCATCTCTTCATCAGCGGAAGGGAGATTTTGCTTGCTATTTCCTAACTGACCTTGTTACATTTACATTACCTGCTGGTAATTATGAGATGCTATTAATTTATACTTTAACTGGTTTAAAGAGTATATAAAAACACCAACCTCTGACTTTTTCTGTTGGTGTAATTGTAGAACTTTAATTTCTCAAAAATCTTTATAATCATTAAGCTTTTCTTACATGTGGAGACACAAAAAAAGTTAAATAATACCATATTCATTATAGAATTATGGATTTCTATTAAAATTTTTAGACTTGTTTGGTGATATTTTAATATTGGATTCAAATTATTATTAAATATATTATGCAAGTGCTACAGTCTGTTTCAAGTTCTGATACCTGCTGGAGATTATAATATCTAAAATATCTATGCTTTTTGTTATTGGCTGATGAATACTACTGCTGCTTGCAAGAGGATTATTGTGACTGCATAAGTGCAGGTATTGATTTTCTCTTAGAGGTTACACAGTTGTGACTGAAATGGATGGGACATTAGAATAGGGAACTATTTGGGAACTATATGATTTACATAGTGAGCTAGATGTGGTTTGGATATGCAAATAACATCCTGAAAGGAAGTAGAGTTTATTCTGTCCAATGATGAATGATTATAGCTATAAGCACTGTGACGTATATGTGTTTTCTCCTCTGTCACCATCACTTTTCCAGTATGCTATGGTTTTTAGGTCCAAAATGGCAGATTTGTCACATTTGCACCATTTTTTGCTGCATTTTCACTGCAGCCACACAAAATTTGTAACGCAGTGGGAGTCTGAAAGAACAAGATGAGTGCAATATATTTCTGTCCTTCCTGGGAGATGTCGCAAAGAAGTAGCATGTAGTTCTTATGCAGATCCCTGTAAAAATTACAGGGAAACAATACATGTTGGACAGTTTCTATTTCCCCAGAGTCACATGGGCAGGTTCATTAGTGGGGTTTGGGTGAATCTGCCCTGTAATAAAGTCGACCGGAGCACATTGTGCCTAGCTCTAAAAAACTTCTTCCATAACCTTGGGAAGGTTAAGATGTATAAATAGCTTGCAAATTGCCATGTGTGCCTTTTGCTATCAGGACTCTACTGTTCCAGGATAGGTGCTAACTTCAGTTTGGCATTCAATATCATTCAACCTTTGAAGGGCTGACTTCTTTGCTTAGTCAAAACTGGATGATAGAAGCAAATCTATGTGATTATTACTGTTATTTGTAAGCCTCTTTCATAACTATTTTAGTTAAAATGTTTTACATTTGCTTTTACAGCACTTCCAAAGAAGTCTGAAAGCATACATGGTGTATACAATGTGTATAAACTGTTTCATATAGAATATTTTTTCACCCATTCATTTTACTGTCTCTTGTTGTTTTACCACATATACTTCTTAAGTAACCTATTCCCAGTGCATTCAACTTTTATGTTTTTCCTGACATACTCAACTTTCACTTCTATATAACAAAGTGAGTAGAAGCACACTCTTACACACACCCATTCATTTTACTTTGATTAGTATTCACAGCAGGCCACATACTACCCACTATCTTTCTCCCAGCATTTGCATGTATTAGATTTCTCCACCCATTTCCCCACCTTCACTAAATGTTCTGCTGATGTATTTAAATTCTACTTGCTTTGATTTTTTTTCTATTTATGTATAATTTGCAAGTGTTCATTCAGTTTCTCCTGTCAAATGCACGTACATTAACTTTGAAATCCATACTACTTGTTGCATCGTAAAATCTAATATTCTCTGCAAAGTGTTTAGATTCTCAGCCAGTGCCACAGCACTGTCTGCATATAAAAGTATGCCCACATTCATGTTCCAAACCATTATACTTCTAACCACCATATACTCATTTCTTATATATTTATCCATAAATGCATTAAACACAAATGGACCATCACACATCCTTTTCCACATTTCAGTTTCATCTCAAATAATTTCATTTTTATTCTTAACTCTGTTCACACTGCTCAATGTGCTTTTCAGCCTCTTCCAAAATAAATATTTCTGTCAAAATCAGTCTCCATTTTCTCTGCCTTTTAAATTTTAACTATACTTTGTTCTCTTTGACTATATTCTTTTCAACTACCTTTTTCTATCTGTTCACATTACATAATACCTCTCTCACCCACATTTTTCCTGCCATCATTCTTCTGTATACACTTTTTCCTCATTCACAACCTGTTTCTCTTCATTCTTACCAAGTTTCCTTTTTTAAACTTCTCGTTTGTTTAACTGTACACATTTCTTTGGCATATTCTAATTTAATTGTTTTCACTCTGTTGCAAGTAGCTTCCAGATCATTTTTCTGTATACCCACTATCCATTTATTTTGTTGGAAGATTAATACAGGTAATCCTTGCTTAACAATGATAATTGGGACCAGAATTTCCATCGCTGAGTGATGCAGTCATAAAATACAATGTCATGTGACCTTGTGCTGTTTAGTGAGAGCAGTTCTGGCAGTCTCTAGTTACCATCATTAAGCAAGGACCCCATGTGATTGCAACTTCCGACTTCCTGCCAGCCTCCCTTGCTTGTAGAAAACTGGCAGGGAGGGTAGCAAATCACGATCACGTGGCTGCGGAGGTGCTGCCACAGCTGGAACTTCAAGGACTGGTCATAATTACCACTTGTTCAGTGCCGTCACACTGAGGACCACTTGTATTTTCCATGCAGGATTTTCTTTCCAGCTTTCCTTCTGCTTTTGCTTTCTTTTCTTCCATGCCCATTTTCCCCATAATCACCTCTTGACATTGGGAAGTAATGGATTGTCCCACTTTTAGATCTTATATCAACCTTGTGTCCTTAAATAGTTCTTTCAGTCTTTCATTGCAAAACAAATCAATCATTTTCTTAAATGTACTCCTTTATCATGTGTACCCATCAATAGATTTATGATTAAACTATATATTCAAAACAAACCGATCTCTTTTTAAATCACCATTCTCATTTATTTTTCACTTTCCAAATGACCCAGTCATTTTTTTTTCTGTATTCCTCCCTTGTTCCCCTGATCTATTAAGGTCACCTAAGATAATAGTTCTTTCCTAGGATCACATTCAGAATGTTGCGCAGGTTTTTTTTTTTTTAAAACTAATTCCTTATTCCATTATCACATTCACTGCACATGCAACTATCACCATTCTGTGAATTTACACTTTCATTGCTTGTATGTAGATGATAGCAGATAATATTTTCTCACACATTTTTTAGTCCTTTCATCCATATATGAAATATACCTTCATTTCCCTGCATGTGTTCATCAATTCTGCAAGATTAGATCACCCTCACTGAGATCTACTCCTTTCTCTTAGTTCCACAAAGATTCATTAAATCATACTCTTACCATTTAGTCCATTTGTGTTTCAAGTCACTATCTTCCATAGTCCATGGCTATCAGCTGTTAGGCCCTCTGGTTTAGGGACTCAGCTGCAGTTGCTTTCTTAAGAATCAAACAAGCTAAGCTTTACTGCAAGAAGATTAAGAGCCCAATAAGACTATTGAACATCACTAATTAATAGAGAAGTTCTCTTAATATAGAAACGGATTCAAATTTCTCTACCCATTTTCCTGTGTTTCCTGCTTGTCAAATTGAAACTGGCTTTCTTTTTTCATATAAGCTCCCAGAAGCTGTACCATCTCTGCATTATTTTCTACAACATTAGACAACACATAGACTTGACTTAAAGTTTCTCTTTTCCCAAGTCCCTCACATCAATAAATAGTCCCATAAATATAAACCTCTAGTACCCATCATGGCTTTGTCAACATCGGCATTCATACAACAGTGTTTAGTAAGATAAAAAACAGTAGACTAGGCTATCAGTCTTACTCAAATTCATGTCACTTGCAGCATTCCTTGATTGTGGTAGGGACACAATTCCAGTCAATTCTCAGTCACTGAAGATGAACCTGTCAGGAAAAGGTTAACTTGACCTTTTTTAGATGGAAAGCAGGGCTTAGTGTTCCATCTATGGAAGAAACCCCTCCTCATTAGTCTTAGTTCTGCCCAGATTTTCCTCTGGGCTCAGTATTGACAGGGTTGAGCAAAAAAAAAAGAAAAGAAAAAAAAAGAAGTTACCAGCCATAGCTTTACCCCTGTTCTGTGCAGCATGGTAAGGACACATTATTAGTCAGTGTGGGTTTATTTTGGCCAGTTTGCTGCAAGTGCAACCAGAACCCAAAATATTTCAATTTTGAGGCAGACCAAAAAAGGCAGACATTGTGTTGCTTACAATGAAAGAATTAAAAAGAAAACAACATATATCACTAAGAAAAGGGAATACAACCAACTGAAAGATCAACTCCATAACACAAAAAGAACAGAAGGATACCAAAAAACCAAAGAGGCTTAACCACCATCCTAAATGGGGGTGGCTGGTGCCTTGAAGACACTCCCCGAGTCTAATAACTCCTAGTTAACATTTTTTTGGAAGATATTTATTATTTATATAGGAAGTCTTCTTGTAATTTATTTTAATTAATATTTATTC